CTGGAAGCAGAGATCAGTTGGTTCTCAGAAATTAGTTAATTGCATGATTGTTACAGTTTTGTTATTTAAACATGATGTCGAGGCTCTCCGGGGAGAAGACGGCTGGAAGTGAAGTTTTGAGATTTCTGTCGTGTTTATTTTCTTTTTTTTTTTTTTGTGTGTGTGTGTGTTTTCCTGCTGCTAGTATCTTTAGCACCCAGCTAGCTGAGCGTTGGATAGATGGAGAGATATCTGCGCCCTCCCCACCTCCCCCCTCCTGCCTGTCTGCAAATAGCACCGACTCGGGAAAGTGTTTGCACCTGCAGAGGCAAGTGTTAAAGGTGATAACAAAAGGTTGACGTCACCGGGATCATCAACCTCGATCACTGAGGAGGAGGAGGAGAGCAGCTCTTGGTTTTTGCTTTAATGGATCGTGTCTGGAAGGAGAGGGRCTATCTCTGATCAAATTTGGGGGGTATCCTAAGGGCGCACTTAACTAATGGGATCCTATCGATGTTCCCCCTCCTCTTCCCCATCAGAGGCTGATCTTTACACGGCGGAATGTTAATGTTGCCACAGCCTGTCCGTGTTTGTCTTTGGCTGCTCGGGGTCTGGCTTTATTAGATTGATGTGATCTGTGTGTAGTGTCACGCTGCTGGACGGGTTGTGAGCAGGGAGAACCCCCCCCAGAGACAGCACACACACAGCAGAGAGACTGATCCATGAAGTTTCCCTCTGCTCATCCTCAGATGATGTTTGATTTACCAAACACTGAAGGAATCATATCGCCCGCCGCCTTTCCTGCCAGAGTTACCCGCTTTGGTCAGACCTTTAAAAACAAATTATTTTTCACCACATTGCAATATCTCATGCTCAGAGTCTGTGTTTGGGATGATTCTCAGCTACTACCACCTTTAAAATTTAGCCCAACACCTGTAAAACTGACTGAGTTAGAGCCATTTATGTGTTCATTAACGATTAGCTGTGGCAGTCTCAGTGTATACTTTCTGAAAGATTCATTAAAGTGGTTCATGAGCTATTTCGCTAACAGAGGCATAATGGATGCCAAAAGCTAATGCTGAAGTTTTAAGCATAATGGTTAGGTCTTGACTGGATTACAGCCAGCAGGCAGAGTTGACTTCACAAGTTAAAAGCAATGTTTGATCTGTCAGCACTCCAAGTATACACTCACCGGCCACATTATTAGGTACACCTGTCCAACTGCTCGTTAACACTTAATTTCTAATCAGCCAATCACATGGCGGCAACTCAGTGCATTTAGGCATGTAGACATGGCCAAGGCAATCTCCTGCAGTTCAAACCGAGCATCAGAATGGGGAAGAAAGGTGATTTGAGTGCCTTTGAACGTGGCGTGGTTGTTGGTGCC